TTTCTTGGTTCGTCTACATTTTCAGTGTCTTTCCTTTGTGCTCTTTACCCTGACAATCTCCTCAACAGTTGCTGAAGTCCTCTGCTTCTTCCTTGTACCTTATTTATTGGTGTTTCTTTTTCTGCCTCTTATGCATTCAAAGCCAGAATCTGAGACCCTCTTCCTCTTCTGTGGTCTATAACCATCAGCACCAGGATTTCTTGTACCACTTCTGGTCCTGACAAAGATACCACAGGGTTCTGTGCTGCTGTTCCATTCTATAAATGAGTAAAGTCTTGTTTTACTCATGTAGAGAAGTTATGTACAGTCACTGAGTTTTTTAATTTGCATGCATAGTTACTAGTTTCCAGATAAAGATTTTACACCAAACTTTACTGATTCCCTTTTGCTGGTATTTATCTAAAAAAAATCAAAGTAAAAGGTAAACTACAAGAAAAATTATCTGCCTCTCAAACTATATGTAGGTCATATTCTTGTTATGAGCCATAGACTGTATATAAAGATGGGCAAAAATCAATTTCTGCCACTATATAAAAGTGAAATATTGCCAATACAGGGGCAGACATCTTGCATTTTCTAATCTATGCAGTAGTGACCAGATGTGGAACCATGATATTGGGCCACCAATCACAACTGTCACATCACCTGAAATACATCCCTTTTTATATAATCAAAAAACTTATTGTAAACAATCTTACCAGAAAAATTACAATTTGTACACAAATTAGTGTGATAATATACTGTATTCCTAAAATGACAGAAACCACCTATGCAAAAATGTATTGGATTTATAGACCTACTGTGAAGTTTCACTTTGGACCATGTCCCATTTGTTAACATGGAAGGGGTCGGGGTTTATGACCTATGCTGCAAACAGCCACCAGGTGACGATTGACTTGTGTTGGTTTCATTTCTGAGGAACCGCCATGTTGTCTGTCTTTATATACAGTCTATGTTATCAGCAAATGTGGTATGTACAATTTTAATCAGTGTTTGGGAAACTAGTTTAAAAGCATAGCTTTGTAAGGTACCAATTGCTTTACCCTGGAAGAATTTGAGCTACAGCAAAGCTACTCTAGGAAGAAATCTAGATGGCTTAACCAAAGCTACTTGGAGATATTTTATCAATTTAACAAGTTTATTTCCTCATAGTGGTGGCAATATATTGCCATATGAACCAGTTAGTGCTGTTGAAACATTTTTAAAAAGAATGTTTTGACAAAAGCAATTTCTAGGCTCAGATATAATAATGAAAGAAATGAAGTGCATGGTGTTGACTATGCTGAATGTAGTGTTGCCACTGCTGTTAATACAAAGCTGTAACTAACTTTAAGAAGAAACCTAGAAGAAATTTTCTCTATGACAGCATAAATTATGCAAAGATTCTTGTGTTGCACTTAAAGCAGCTTCTATTCCCATGTTTTCTCTGACAAGAGTGCTAGCCATGTGAGTGAGAGAGGTGAACTGTGCATTGAGTTCACAGGCTGGTACAAAGTTTTTTTTTTCAAAGTTTAGATCAGAAATTCTTCTCCAGAAAAAGCGGGCAACAAATAAATCCCACATACACAAAAAATGGACTTGGACTTACATAAATAGTGCTTTTCTGTGCACTGAAGCACACTTAAAGTGCTTTTCATTATTTGCCCATTCGCTCATTTACCCATGCCAACACACACCACACACACAAACCAATGGCAGGCAGAACAGCTATATGTGGCCACTAAGAGCAACTTTGAGTTCACTGTCGTGCACAAGGACATTTTGACATGTGGACTGTAGAAGCCAGGGATTGAGCCACCAATCAGAGTGAAACATGCTAATAATAATAATCAGCAATCCATTGTTGGATTACTTCCTTTGGGTTGGGTGTGGGTTGCTGCCCCAGGTGAAAATGTTTAAGTATCTTGAGATCTTGTTAACGAATGAAGGTAAAATAGTGCGTGAGACTGACAGGTGGATTTGGGCAGTGTCAACAGTAATGTGGGCATTGTACTGGTCCGTTTTGGTGAAGAAGGAGCTGAGTCAGAAGGTAGAGCTTTCACTTTGTCAATCTACGTTCCAGCCCTCACCTATGGTCACAAGCTTTGGGTAGTAACTGAAATAATGAGATCGAGAAGAGAAGTGGCTAAAATGAGTGCTGTAGAGTGTCTGGGCTTGGCCTTACATGTACTGTAAAGTGTGAAGTTCTGACATCCAGAGGGAGCTTGGCATCCCTGTTCCCTTGTGCCAAAAGAAACCAGTTGAGGTGGTTCAGCCATCTGATTAGGATGCATCCTGGACGCCTCCCACTGGAGGTTTTTAGTACACATCAAACTGGTAGGAGGCCCCAGGGTTGATCTAGAATACACTGGAAAGATTATATATCTCATCTAGCCTTTGACCACCTCAGGGTCCCCCAGGAGGAGCTGAACGACATTTCTCGATAAAAGGATGTCTGGACTGTCCTGTGCTGCCACGTCTCATACACTCCAAAGGGAACCTTACGGTTTTCCTTCAGGAAGCATGTGTTTAATTCCAGTGTGAGACTTAAAGTATGTGCTTATTTATTGATGGCTTGATCTTTTCCTATACCTCACCAAGTAATCCAAACAAGTATCTAAACCTAATCAAGTACTTTTTGTGTACTTAATACAAAAATACTGGTTTGACAGGCTTTGTGTAAAACCAAAATAAATAATAAACATTTTAACTTGCTAGATGCTGTAGATGAAAAGTCAGAGGACCACAAAAAGTAAAAATAGGCAAGTTCATAAGTGAATGTTGTCCAGTGAGATTTAAGGACATCCTATGTAAACATCTGTAACATATCTACCCACAGATGTTCTACAACCAGATATTGCCCTGTGTAAAGGCCAGGTGGCAGCTTTGAATATGGTGGTGAAGTTTTGTAAATTAACCTCTAATGGGTTTTACTGCAGTGACACAGCAGTGTGGCATGTAGGGTGCCTCATTGTTTGCAGTCAGGCTGAAGTGGATGATTTACTGCATGCCCAAAGAACATTCTCTTATTGTAGACACTCTCAGGCTCATGTATAAGACAATGAATTAGGTTTAACTTGATTAAACATCCCCCATGCACCACTGGCATCTTATCTCTATTTATTTCTGTCTACTGTATCTAGAATAGAGTAGTCCATCAGTA